TCCACAGCCTTGATGATGGGCAGTTAAACATATCAGGAAGATCAAGCAGTGATGTAGACTGCCTACATCTCAATACGAAGGGGGCCTGAAATTTATATGTATATATATTAGACATGTACATAAATACACTTACATACATATACATAATACATTTGAAGGCATTCACACAAATTAAATGCATACTTGAGTTAACATACACAGAGAGCACACAAAGGTCTATAGGAACAAGTGTTGGAAGTTTTAGTAAAATATTCTTGGCTGCAAGCAACAGAGACAACTATTTGGTCAGCAGTCTCTGCATTCTGCTTTGGGAGCTTCTGGGCCTTTTGTGGGCAAGGTCCAGGATCATTTGGCACACCTGAGAACCCTCTGAGAAACTGGAGGGTGCCTGTTGCTGCCAGGTGAGGATGAGGAAAAGGGAGCCAGGAGGACACAGGCTCTAGCAGCTTCTAATGAGCATGATGAGCTGCCCTTGACCCAGGGTGCCTGGAGCCTTTGTTGCAGGTGTCCTGCTTAAGGAGGGTGAAGCATCCATTAGCTGGTGCTCAGGAGAGGGCTGTGTAAGAGCTATGGCAGAGAGCACAGCTCTCAGAGATGGCAGTCTGTGCAGCAGAGCATGAGAAAGGGGGCCTCAGTTGTATCTGTGCTGCTGTCACAGCCTCAGCTATGGTGGTGGCATGCCACAGGGCAGTCTGCCCAGCAGCTGTCAGAGCAGCTGTCCCTGCTAGGGCAGAGGCTGTGATGCACAGTGGGTCTGGATGGCAGATGCAGCCCTCCAAGCCCTGGGCTGCAGGGAAGACCTGGGGCTTCTCTCCAATGCCTGCTGTCCTGCAGGATGTGTGCCATCGTGGAGGAGCTGTGCTGAGAAGTGGAGGAGTTACAGGAGGAAGTGAGCAGGCTGTGCAGCATCAGAGAGGATGAAGAAGGAGATAGATGAGATCTCTGAGACACAGTGGTTTAAACCCCAGACCTTAACTGCAGCAGGGAAACAGGCAGTGTGCACCCCTAATATTAAGGTAAGCGAACTCCTGGAGAATGGGAAGGATGGAAGGGGGTCACTTCTGGCACCAAGAGATGGGCTCCTGCCCCACCTAAGGACCCACAACTGAAGAGTATGTTCACCACCCTCCAAGTTGATGAGATGCCAGATATGCCTTCAAGCAAAGGATCTGGTACACCTGATCCTAAATCATGTAAGGTCACCCAGGAAGAATGGTGAGTCCATGTAAACAGGTGACTCCCTTCTGCATGGGACAGAGGCATCCCTCTGTTCAACTGACCTGTCATCTAGAAAGGCGTGCTGCCTGCCAGGGGCCAGGACTGGGGATGCTGCGGAGGCCTGCTGCAGGTCTAGCTACTATCCTCTGCTGTTAATTTGTGCGGACACAAATGATGTTTCCAGGGAAACCTGAATGGTATCAAGAGTGACTACAAAGTTCTAGAAGCTGTAGTTAAAGGCATGGGGGCCCAGGTGGTGTTTAATACCCTTCTCAAGCCAGGAAAAGGGTATAAGGAATAGGAAGGCAATGATAGTACAGGTCAATAATTCGCTACAGAGCTGGTGCTGGTAAAAACATTTTGGGTTCTATAACCATGGGGCCAACTTGACAATAAACTTCTATGATGAAAAGATTTGCCTGGCAGATGAGGGTAAAATGGTGGACTAGACTTCGGTGAGGCTTTTGATGCTGTCTGCTGAAAGACTGTCATAGAGCAGTTGGTTAAGTATGGGCTGGATGACCAGACAGTGAGGTGGATTGAAAAACTGGCTGAAAGGCCAGGGAGAGGGACCTTGACAGGCTGGAGAAATGGGATGACAGGATCTCTGAAGTTCAATAGGGCAAGTCCTGCACCCTGTTGGGGAGGAATAACCCCATGCATCAGTACAGGCTGGGGGGCCCCCCAGCTGGAAAATGGCTTTGCAGGAAAGGTCCTGGGGAACACCCGATTGATCCTGAACTATTAATGTGCCTGTGCTGCAAAAAAAGGCAGGTGGTATCCTGGGCTGCATTAAGCAAAGCATCACCAGTAAATCAAGGGAGGTGATCTTCCCTCTGCCCAGCAGTGGTGAGCCCACACCTGGTACACTGTCTGGTTCTGGGCTCCTCAGTACAAGAGAGACCTAGGCATACTGGTGTTCTGACTTCAGCTGGGATAGAGTTAATTTTCTTCCTAGTAGCTGGTGCAGTGCTGTGTTTTGGCTTTCGTCTGAGAACAATGCTGATAACACACCAATGTTTTAGTTGTTGCTCAGTAGCTCTTACCCTGATCAAGGACTTTTCAGTCTCTCATGCTCTGCCAGTGAGGAGGGGCACAAGAAACTGGGAGGGAGCAGACTGAAATGCAGGAGGCTTCCTTTGAACACCAAGGAACACTATTTTTACTGTGAGGGTGACTGAGTGCTGGTACAGGTGGCCCAGAGAGATTGTGGCATTCCTTGAGATATTCAGAAGCTGCCTGCACATGGTCCTGAGCAGCCTGTTCTAGATGACCCTGTCTTGACTGGTGATTGGACCAGGTGATCTCCAGAGATTCCTTCCAACCTCAGCTCTTCTGTGATTCTTCCTGTTGCTGCACAGGGCTTTCTGGTGGCAAGACTAGAAATGTATTAAAAATCATTCTGTTACTTCACATTTTGATTTCACTTCAAATTTTTGACTGCACCAGAAAAGTAAATTTGCAGAGTGGTACCTTGAGACAATACTCTAATGAGAATATGCTCATTACAGATGGAGCTGTCTGAGCTTATTAGTTGTGCAGAGAAGAGTGTGTCTGAAAAACAGTCCTTACAGCATTAAAAAGCCCCTTTTGATTATGGCACAAGCTGAGAGACTAACACAGAGATGTAGCCTCCCATGTAATGCGCTATAGATGGCCACATCGCATCAAATGCACAGGCACTTATCAGCCCTAGTGGCTTGGCCTTGGTCAGAAAAGTGATGGACTCCATCTCATGGTGTTATACATGTAACTTTAATTCAGCAGCTGGAAAGGAGGTTTACATTATGCGTGACTAACTAAGCATGCTGGCTGTGCACACACTCATCCTAAAAATAGATGTGGCCATATTGTCAATGGTACAGTGAGTTTACCTTAATTTGGGGCTCACACATGGGCTCAACATCAGCAAACAGAGCCAAGTCAGGAAAATATACTTCACTCAGAAGCAAAACCGTAGAATCTTATAACATGTTTTAAATTTAACTTTATACAGTCATGCTCCACAGACTTTCTGAAGAGGAAAGAAACAGTACTTGGGTCTTACCTTCCACTGAAGATTTCTTTTGTTTACAGGTATTGCTGAAATAATCCCCACAGTAAATAAAAGAAGTATTCAGTTTCTTTGAGGGAAGTGAAGTGACCAACAGCTTAATGAGTTCCCCCAGGTCACACAATATATTTGTGTTCTGTTAAGAAATACAGATGAGACCTTTTCACTAGCTGCAAGCCCTCCTTTCCTGAAAGCTCCTTGAGAAAATGACATCTGGATTAGGAGCCAAGAAATTCTTCAATCTACCAAAGCAAAGTTTTTGTAGTGCAGAAGCAGATAAGGTTTGAATGCTTCTAATAAGCTAATCAGTGAATCTCTGTTTCTCCTGGTCTTTGATGTATTTGAACAATTGACCTGAAGTTTCTGATTAAATTGAGTATTTCAGCAAGTACTTATTAATCAAGCCCACTTTTTTTTTTAACCAAGCTTGAACAAACGTTCTTATCATATGCAGTCAACACGCTTTTAAAAACAGCATTTAGCCTTAATTTAGGATACTATTGAAAATGTAACTAAATAATGTATAGGTCCATCTTAAAGAAACCTCATGAGTAGCAGTTTATTTTTACTATTAAAGAATGATTTTTTGTTTTGCTGGTAACAAATATTAAGAGTGGTCAGGATTCAACCTACAGTGTTCAGAAAAGAAATTGTGAGTTATTACAACCAGCAGCATCCTGAAAATGGTCACAAGCAGCAGACTGACAGTCAAATTGGACTGTTTGGCTGAACTGCTGCAGTAATGCCATATTGCTAATGACTAATTTCCACAGCAGTGAGTTTTCTTTCTGGTGCTGTTTATTTTTCCCCTGGTTCTTTCATAGGACTCTGGCTGTCTTTTAGGCATAATACTGTCTTGCTAAAGTATGCTTAACAGTCTATAATGGCTGTTTAAAGCTTTTTTTTTTTTTCTTTTCTATAATTTTTACAACATGCTTAGGAGTAAAATACAGTGCATTGGATTAGAAAATGTGTTTATGTCCAGCCTGGGTATTAACTGCTCCTAGGGGGCGGGTCTCAATACTTATCTGTTTCAAACCACAGGTTTCTATTTGAAAGGCAGTCCTTCGGCTAATCCATCATTTTACTCTGTGTTGGATTTGAACACAAATGCTCACAGAGCCACCAGTGCTCTTCCACAGATATGCAGTTGCTCTAAAATGCAGAAGAATCACTAAGCAAAGTCACAAGACAATACAGGAATTTGCTCAGACTGCTGACGGAATATTTACGAAAGAGTCTGGGAGGGTTAAAAAAAAAAACACTAAAACTGATTATTTCCTTTCTACTGTTTAAAATTGAGAGCAGTTGCTGAAAGGATCAGATGAGAGGGAGGCGAGCAGGTGAGATGTAGAGCTGCACCTCTATGAAGAGGGTCCATGCCCCAGAAACATGCTTGGGGCTATCACTGCCCTCTTGCCTCATCTGTCCATTTTGTTGACTGTCAGCTGTATGATGTGGTGTCCTGGCATTGCCCCAAGGGCAGCCCAGGCTCAGGCTGAAAGTAGGTTCCTGCTACATGCAAACATGTTTTCTTGAGTTTTATTTTAGCCAGGACAAGAGCAATCCCAAAATGGCTGGGTATTATTCTCCTCTTTTTAATACTGCAAGACTGCATCAGCTAGTGCTAAAAGGGAAAATTTCCACCCATTCTTGTTAAGGAACATAGAGCCACCTTGCGTGACATTACAGCACTTGTGTGCCGATTCAGGCGAGACACACACAGCCATACCTACTGCCATTCCTCCAATCCTGCTGAGAGGAGCTTGCTTAAATGGTTGTTCAAGGGAATGTAGTGCTGATGCAAGCCTTCCCTCTGCTGTGCCTGGGGGAGGAGAGAGACCTGAAAAGCATGCCTAGGTGCAGACAGGACAGTCCCCACTCACACCCATGCAGTGCCTGGGGAGCTGTACAGCTGGGCGCCATGCTGGGGACCACGTAGCAGCTTTGCAGGACAGTGGCAGGGCTGGTGCCTGGGTTGAGTGGGTGACAGTCACAGCTCTAGCAGTTGGGAACACCAAGGCTACATGGAGCTGGCAGTTTGGGAGCAGACACAGCAGCCTGGAGCAGCCAGCTGCAGAAGACCAAGTGAAGTGGGTGAATGAGGTAATTAAATTGCTTTCTAAATAATTAACCTCCCCCTAAGAAAGTGTCTTTTAGTAAGACGATGAAGAGTGCCCCTGTTCTGCCTCTTTTTTACAGGGATTTAGTGTTCTATAGCTGTGCCACAGATTAGGATAGCAAAGGAAAACTTTTTTGTGCCTTCAACAAGCCAGATGCTTTCTGGGAAATTTTGGCATAAAGCAAATTGTTACTAAACTATAATATTATCATCAGTAATAATGAATAGACATAGTAGGCCATTATTATGCCATACACAGGGCTTTCATTACTCACTGTATATAATTCCTGCTAGAAGTGCCCTCCTGTCCTGAAGGATTTAAAGTCTAAGACTCTAGTCCTGTAATTTACAGTATATGGCATTCCTTAATCTGCATGAAATGCCAATGCAGTCAGCTACAGGACTGTGGCCTTCCTAGAGCAGAACTGAAAATTGCCTGGGAAGACCCAGCGCTCATTTATTAAATGTATCTAATATGCTTTATTTTCTTGTAAAATTGAGGCAGTGTAGGGCAGCTCCAATAACCCACCGTGACTGCCAAGTGAATCCTGTTGTGATGAGCCTCTGTAAATCCCAGAAGGTCTCCAGGATATATTTTGCTTTTCCTTTAATATGGAAATGGTTATTTACAGCCAGCAATTGCTCTGCGACATAGAGAAATGAACAACTCGCCCGTAGTTCCTGCCTTCTGACTGGACAGACAGAAGCCCTTAAAGCACTGATCTGACTAGTAGCCTAAAAACTGTCATTAATAAATAATTACTATAGTAATTATTTACTATATTTATAGTAATTATTTACTATAAATTATTACTACAGTATAGTATTATTTAGTAGTACCAACTTTACTGCAGGATAAATGTCTTGGAGAAGCCATGAACTCTGTTCATAGTGGCTAATATTGGTGAAGGCATAGCACTCTGCATGCTTTTATGCTGACAGGTCAGTGGTAGTGGAAGGGGGATTTTGCCGTATGTGGTCCAGTGTTTTATTTGTCCATTTTTAAAAGTGCAATTGCCATTCTCTGGATTGTCATCACAGTTTGACACCTGCTGAATGAGGGCTTGCTTGGAGGGGGCAAGGGGATGGTACCCTTCAGGGCTCTGAATGGCAGCCAAACCCAAAGCACTTGTTCAGCAGCAGTGTTCATGACCCAGCCCTGTGGTCCTCCAGTCTGCTCCCTCGTTTGGCTGCCTGTGTGAAAACTGCACAGTCAAGTCCCACATGCACTGCAAGTGTTTTCTTGTGTATTTTGGAATACAGAGCACATATGCACAGGAAACTCACTTTCCCAGTTGTGTAGACAAACAGTTTCTGAAGAGGAAGATCAGAATAAGCCCTATTTGTTGCTGTTGTTGTAGACAGCACCAAGTAAAATAGCTCTTGGGAATCCGCACGTTTAATTACTTAGAAGTCCACTCTACTACTTTTCTTAGTCCAGACACTATCTCAGACATCTCCCTTTCCCTCCCTCCCCCAAGCTTCACTGGAGTAACTTGTACCTCCATTGTGCCAAGCATTTGATGCAGCTATCGTGCCAAAATGAAAGTTAACTGTGTGGGTTTTTCCATTTATTCTGAATGTGCATAGCTTAAAACATAAGGAAATGAAGTGTGAGGAGGGCAAATGTCTTCATTTGTGACAGGACTTTTTGATAATCTATCATGTATTGTAGGGGTTTTTTTCTGCTCCAAAGGTGGGCGAGATGTATTGTCACATCTTAGAGCGCTTGACTATGTTTCTTTTAACACTGGGTATCATGAGATTTCTTCAAAACTGAACTGCTGCCAGCTAACCTACACTGGGGCTGTGCTTTGAGGAAACCAATTCCCCAGCAAGTGTGGGTGCTGCCTGTTGAGGGATGGCAGTTCTGCCTCTCTGTCCATCTGCCAGCCCACAGTCTGCTGTATTTCCAGCTGGGAAATAACGAGCTTCCGAACAAGGTAGCAAAATAATTGAACATATTTTGAAATAGCTAAACCATTAAAACAGCAATTTAGGGGAAAAAAAATCATGTTGGCTATCACAGCTTAGAAAGAGCAAAAAGCTCTGCATTAGCCTTTGTGCTACTTACAGGTAAGAGTCAATTCTTCTAGGTCAAGTTTACCTTCCCACCATGACCAGTGAAAAACATATAAAGCAATACATAGAGCAGCTTCAAACTATATGCATTGACTTAACTCTTCGTTTATTTTCAGCATGATGAGCAGTTATATAGTCCCTCCATAGTGTTTTTAATAAAAGCGTAGGTATAAAACCAATCACTGCTTCCTCTGAAAAAAATCTGTTTACTGCAATTTACTTTGCAACATGGTCATATGTTGTTTTTCATTCACTCTATGCATATATATATATATGAAAGAATATTTCTTCTCTTACTAGCACTTAGAAGTTATTTAACTACTGTATATATAGAAGATGAGATCTCAGAGTACTACTCATACTGTGCAGTATTATACTTTCCCTTCTATCTGCTTTTCTCCTTACCCCCACTCTAGCCTGATGTGCACAATAGCAATACTCCTTGCCAAGTCTCATTTTTGCTACCAAAATATCTCCTTTTCAGTGAGAGATAGCCAGGGTGCTGCTCTGTGTGCAGCAGCATGGGATGGGGTAAACGTTGGCAGCACTGTAACACAGTATGGAATCCATAATCTGACTCATTTGCAGAAGTGGTAATTATGCAGTTGAGCAACAAATGAAAGAGCCTGCTTTGTTCCTTAAGGCTATTTATGATGGGTTTAATCACAGCTGCAAGGGGTGGTGTACCTGCACCTGAAGCAATGCCCCCCAGGGGAGTCCCAGTCAGGTCAGACTGAATTCTTACCCCACCTCTGCTGCCCAGCTGCACTGCTGCCTTCAGCATGCCCTGCTGTCTCTGTGTCTCCACTCTCTGTTTGTCAAGTAAAATTAATTGCAATCAGATTTTCCTTCCTGCTACCAAGATTAGAAGGGTAAAGCCAAGCGTGTCTGTGAGGGACTTGGGTGGCAAGTTGTAAACTATTTTCCTGGGTTTGTGGAAGTCCCTTTTTAGCAACGCGTGGTCAGGCAGGAAAGTCCATGATCTCCCATTGTCCCTTCTCCATTTGGGAAAGCACAGGCATAATCTCCTTAGCTAATCTGTGCTGTTGCACCTTCACATTTTACCTGTACGGTGTTTTTCAGAGGAGTAATGAAACCTGTCACAGGGGAACACAAGAAAGAACCCTGCCACCGATGCCGGCACAGAGGAGCAATGCTGTGATCCTCCTTATTGCCTACAAATCACGAACTGTGAAATGGAGAAAGGAGAATTGACAGGGGCTTGCCACAGAATGCTTTTACTGTCTTAAGGCTTTCAATGAGGAAAAAAAGCATGCCCAAGTGATTCAAAGCATTGCTTTCTTTTTCCATAAGATTCTTCCCTGATGCTGCTTCCAGGTTTCTGTAAGAGAAGATTTTTGGTGACGGCTTTTTCCCATTTTGGGATTTTTCTCTCACACTTAGTGGTTCTCTGACCCCCTTAACACAAGAACAACGATGTTAGTTACCTGGATAATGCTATCTTCTGAAGTTCAAACACAGATACAAAGATATCGTGCTCTGACCACCGGATCAAAGCAAGGGCTTCCATGCATAGCCTGAGCACATGAAGCCTCGCTGTCCCATTAACATGTGTATTATTGTTGGTCACCAGAGAGGTGACACAAACTCCAGGATGATATCTGCCTGAGCACGGGAGTAAACATTGCCAGTTTATTATTTAGTTAATCTGTACCTACAAGCTTCTGACACTAGAGTTTCCACAGCTTCTCTGACATGAGTTTATTCCAGATCACTTTCATTTTGTAGGGACAGCATTCAGTCTAAGCATATACCTCCTAAAGGGGCCTTACAAGTGTTCAGTAAAATATAAGGAGTACTTGCAGGATTACTTATAGTTCTTATTCACTAGTATTCTGTTCATACAGTCCTGTGTAGTGCTCACCTGTTGCACAGCAGTCTGCCACAGGCTTGTGTTCAGTTTATGGTGCACTGTAATTCCCAGACCCTTTTCTCCAACACTTCCTATATATACAGTCCCAGTTTGTACTCATGATATTGATTGTTCCTGCCAAAGGTTGTGCTTTGCACTTGTCTTGACAAAATTTCATCCTCGTTTCTTTTTCAGTCTGTTTCTCCAACTTGTCAACTTTAAATTCAAATCCTGCCACTGGTATATTTGGGAGAAGGAGCTGAAACAGTGATGTACTGAGTGTGGTGAGCATGATCACAGTAACCTCATATCCTTAGGAAACTAGTAAAAAATGCAATGAGAATTCAAGATTTGGCACGTTGCACTAACCATCCTGCATTTGCTGTAGAAGGGAAAAATAGTGACTACAAACTTCGTTCAAAATTCCAAAAATTCATCCTTTGGCACAGCCAGTCATAGTAGAATCCTGCTGCTGCCCATGCAGCCCAAGGCTCCCCCAAGGACGTCAGAACACCCAGAATTTGGCAGGGTGTGCCCAGACATGCTCCAGCACATGTTGTCAGCATGTGTCTCTTCCTATTGATTTGAAGTCACTGAAACTACAAAGCAAGGTCTGTTTGAAGCTAAGTGTGCACTTGTTACTTTGCTGGACAAGAGCCTTAATCTTCAGATGAAGTGTGAATACAGGAATCCAAGTAAAATCAACCAGATTTTTCTACCTCCTAATAAGAAGGATAAACCAAGCATTTCTTGGTTTCACACCTATACTGGGCTGACAGGACGAGCACTATTGTTGTTTAAGTGAACAGCAATGCATGCTTTCCATAAAGGCACTCATGGTCAGTATGCAGAATAAGGAGATTGTACTTTTCAGTCTTGTTTTCAGTAGATTATTGCCTAATTTACTGGCAGACTTGGATATTTGACAGTGACTACAGTATTTAGCAGCAGCTATTTTGGCCTATTTGTTTGGAAGCCTCTAATAGCTTAGTCTGGTTGAGCTCATTTCAGAGCTTCCTGTAAATGTGGGACCATCTGTTATCCACCTCACTTTTTTTTTCTTTACTTGATTGGTTTCACACAGACTCTGTAGTTCATTTTAAATTAGGGTTGTTTGCAGAAAATCAAACTGCAGTTGTTCCCCCCTCCCTAATTACATTGAAAACATCCCATGATGAAGAACATTGTTGAATTTACAAGGCTTTGTGGAAAAGAGGTGGGGTGTGTGTGATTTTCTCCAAAGCTGGAAGGCTTCTGCAGGTAAGCCTGTAAAACCTGCAAAAGGCAGAAATGATTACAAGCCTTTACTGCCATCCTACCAGGTGACCTCTGGTATTTATTCAGCTAGACAGAACAGCTGAAAATAGTGAGACTCTACTCATACTGCTCATCTTTTACGCCTATATGCACACACATTCATACATATGTATAAATGCACAGTATTCACCTTTAAAATATATACATAAATAATATTATATATAAAAAAAAACTTATTTCCTTGGAGATTTTCTCTTTTATTTAAGAAGCTCTGGCTTCCTTCTCATACAGGTCATGAGCAAGGCTGGAGAAGTGTAAGGGAAACAAAAAGATATTAGAAAATTCCTCTTGAAAAACCTCTCCAGGCACATGAACCTGGGGGGGCCTGGTTTGTTTCTGAGACTTTTTTTATGATCTCAGACTCTGAGCAAGAGCTAGAGAATGTCGGACTGGGGAATTGCTACTGTGGGGAAGATCTTCAGAAGCAATACTTCAGAAACAAAAAGCAATGCCAAGCTGAAGGAACCTTGCCTTTCATCTATTGTCATTTTGTCATAACGAAAAGAGCCCTGTGAAATCCTCTGGGCTTAAACAATTCACATTTCAGACTGAGGAGGAAAACAAAATACCAGGGAGAAGGTGACAAGTTCCAATATCCTCTGTGTTGTCTGAAATAATGTTGCAATAGGCCTAACCATCAACAAGCACAGGAGTGATCTTAACTTGAAATGTTAGACTTTTAAAGCACAAAAGGTCCACTCACTGGCTGCAGGAAATGGGGCATTTGCAGAATTGCTTATGGCATGTTACTGCTGTGGGATTTGTCCAAGTACAGCTATTCTGTCTGTCCCATGGTGCGTTCAGTCTGAGCCCGGCACAAGCTCCTCCAGTTGAAATCTTCTTGTGTACCTTTTTCATAGCCACAGAGAGGAAAAAAAACAGGAAAATGGAAATGTCATTAAATCATAGAATAGTTAGGGTTGGAAAGGACCTTAAGATCATCTAGTTCCAACCCCCCTGCCATGGGCAGGGACACCTCACACTAAACCATGCCACCCAAGGCTCTGTCCAACCTGGTCTTGAACACCACCAGGGATGGAGCATTCACAACCTCCCTGGGCAACCCATTCCAGTGCCTCACCACCCTCACAGTAAAGAATTTCTTTCTTATATCCAATCTAAACTTCCCCTGTTTAAGTTTTAACCCGTTACCCCTTATCCTGTCACTCCAGTCCCTAATGAATAGTCCCTCCCCAGCATCCTTATAGGCCCCCTTCAGATACTGGAAGGCTGCTATGAGGTCAGCCTGGAAGCACTTCCATTTTGGCCGGGAGTAGGGCACTGCATGGCTCAGGCTGGCTGGGAAGCCTTGGAAGAGCTTCTGAGTCTCTCCTGCCCACCCTCTTACAGCCAGACTGTAGGTACCTGCTGCAGCCATGGCCTCTGCCATCCTTGTCTGCTTCTGGAGCCTGTGCAGGGCTCCTGGGACAGCGGAAGAGTGAGAGGAGAGCTGATGGGATAGGGACGGTTTCCAGGGTCCCTTATGGGGCTGGCAAAGAAAACCCCAAATACAATGGAAAGAGCCGGGTGAAGGACATGCTCCAGGTTTGTACTGGGAGAAGGATGATGGCTACCCCAGTGATGTTAAGACCAGGCCCCTCCAGAAGCTGAGGAAAGTGGTTGTGCAGCTGTTCCATTAGAGACATCACTGCATCCATGTTGCTATGCTTTTCCCAGGCAGTGAGGCATAAATCTGCTGCCTGCAGCAGTCAGGGATGGGACGAAGAAGAGCTGGGGTCCCAAGACAAAGCCATGGGTGTTTTGTTTGAGGAAAGGGAACACCTCTGTGCACCCTGTGCCACCAGCTGGTGCTGCAGGCCTTCACAGTAGTTTTCACAGTCCCATCTGGTGTCGGGCTGTGGCAAGGGAAGCATTCCCAGAGCTGTTCCCGTCCCAAAACTTCCCTCTGCTCTTCTCTCTGTGCATAACAGAAACCACTTCTCTGCCAAAGCCTCCTGAGGTGCCTGGTGAATTCCACCACCCCTTGCCCTTTGCAGCTGCGGAGGGCAGCTGGGATTTCTAAGAAGGGTTCGATTGGCATTTGGCTCTTTTGCTACGTATCACTTACTGGGTGAAACTGGTGGTAACCTTCTCATTTATCAGCACGAGCAGGCTGTGAGCAGCGACAAACCGCAGGTGCAACCTGAAGCATGGTTCTACACCACAGGCTCGTGTGGTAGAAAACCACACCGACCCTTGTTAATCAGGCTTGTTTTCTATCAGCAAGAAGAGCCACAGCTAAGGCTTGTTTTAGGAACTGTGTGTTTACAACTTGCTCCACTGCTGCTCCTGCAGATCCCAGTGTGAGGAGACAGAAGAGGTAGCCAGGGAGCTCTTTGCTTCTCGCCCTGTAGCTGCTGCCTGGGTGATAGCACCTGAGCAATCCCAGGAGGAACCAGGGGTAAGTGCAGGTATCAGGGAATGTGATCCTGAATCTTCAGCTCTGAGGTTTATGTCTGCAACCAGAAAACAAAGCCTGGTTTGCAGGACCTCACGTTTTTCAGTGGTATGCAGTAGTAGCTGCTTTTTTCCAATACTGAGTGAGGAACTTTAAGAGGAGTGATGACACTGCTATACCTTGCACGAGCATCTGGTTTAAATCAGCGTTGCTACTTGGTTCCTCATCTGGTTTCCTATGTAGCCCCCTACAGCCTAGGAAAGGCAAGACCGATTTAAAACATCCTGACTTCCCTGACTGCATCTCCATTCCTGTTAAGACATGTGACTATCCTTCCTCTTACTTTAGCAAGAAGGGGGAGTCTTCCAGGCTTGCAGAAACAGCTCCAAATCCTCCCAAGGCAGCCACAGAGACTTTCGGAAGGAACCCTTCCAGCCGTGGGCTGTTGCTTATCCTACTTGTAATCACAGCCGTACCCATCAAGACTCTGCTGCCGGAGACAGGAATAGATCAGAGTAATCCTGTTGACCAGCAGCCTTATAGATAGTTCTGTAATTCACAGCCGTGTGCATGACATATTAATTCAGCTCCTTCTGCCGGGGCACTGCCACATACAATATGTATGGGTGCAATCTGCTTCCCACCCACCAAGGCACTGCTGTTCTCCATCCACGCTGCAGACCTGAGAGGTGTCTGCACCCTCAGCTACAAATCTGGCTTTTCCTACATTTGAGTTTGCAGCTTAAATGACGTAGTCTTAAAGCAGCTCTTTTCACACAGCTTACGACTCTGTATGTACCAGGTGGACCCTGGATTGATTACTGACATGCTCTTGCTTTGCTAATAGCTTTTGCTGATGTGAATGGGGCTGTTGTCTTAAGATATGTCCTATTAGTGTTTCTATATCGCTTCTGCTGTGGTGGCTGGGAGATGTATCTGAGGTGAGACACTTCATTGCACAGTGCGTTTGACAGACATGAAGAACAGCACATGCGAAGTTCTGCCTCAGTGTCTGGATATAAACAACTGTTAAAGGAAAACAAGCTTATTCTTCATGCACACTTGTGTGCCAGGGTGCTGTGTGCACTAGAATGGAAGACAACTGGTGAAGTGGGTGAGGGGGGGTGCTTTTCCTTTCCACTGCAGTCAGTGCCTTGTTGTGAGAGACAAAGTGTATGCTAGGGGATGTGCAAAAGGGTGGTTCAGAACTGCAAAAGTAACAATGGGCTGAGCAAAACAGCGTGTTTTGCTTGGCTGGGAACATTTCTTGTTTGGAGGTAAAAGTGTAGCAGCACAGTGGAGCGGCTCCTGCTTTTCACTGAAGAGGTGACTGCAAAACATGTAAAATGGCATTTACATGCCATGATCTGACTGGGAAGGAAATGGGTAATGCTTGCAAAGAAGTAACGGAGGATAGAAGGAAGCCCACACTGAGGAAGAGAGGGATGTGGAGATCACAGTGTGTGTATGGTGAGCGCAGTACTTTAGCTGCAATCTTGCAATGACTTGTATGAGTACAGTCAAGAGAAACTGCGCAGGACATGGATTTTGATGCTGTAATTCAGGCACGCACACACACCTGAGGACCATTTCTGACCACAGGGAAGCAACACTTCTGTTTTATGTCTCAGCCAAGAGGCTGAGCTTCCAAATGTGATGCCGCTGGGGTGCACTTTTAGTGCTGAGCTGATGAAATACCATCACTGATGAGCTCAGCAAACACAGTGATCTTGAATTATGAGCCCCTGTGAGAGCTGAAGCCACACTGTGCTTTCCCTATTGGCAACTATTGAGCGGGATCTCCATTTCTCCCGTGCTTGCTTTCTCTTTCTCCCCCCTCCATGTGCTTGGGAAGCCTGAGATGGTGTGACCATCTGAGCATACGCCAAACTCTTCAAAGGGCATCTCTAATCTCCTGTGCTAATCCTCCTGCAAGAGGAAGGATGCTTGTAGGCAGCACTTGCAAATCCACACCCAGAATATTAAGCTTGTTATAAAACCTGGCCTGTTGTTGTGTCTGTTGACTCTTGTTTCCAAAGAAATCATTGCAGGTGAGTAAGTTTCTCCTTCCTGTCCATTAACCTGAAATGTTGCTTCAGGTTAAAGTAATACTGCTGTTTTCACACACCCTTATGAGAAGAAATGGCTAGGGACAGCTATCATTGCTCACTGTGCTAACAGTGCTAAACATTATAGGCCACATTCTCAAAGTGACCTCTAAAGCTGCACAAGACTGCATATGTAGCAAAAGCAGGTGGCTTGATCCATGTGTCCAGACATGGGCTGCTGACCCCATGCATGGGGCATACACAGGGCCCCCAGGAGAAGGGCTGAAGTTCCCTGTACCGACACAGAGTGGGGCACATGCCCACATGGCAAATGCAAGGGGGCTTCAGCACCAACTGAAACACACAGTTGACACATGAGTTCGGTGTTGCTCTGAAGCTTTAGAAGTGGTGCAAGTGCAGAGTGCGCAGTAAGGTCTGTGCTGTTTCAGCTCCCTGTTGCCTTGCCCTATGTTGTGGTTCATCTGCCGGAGTGTGGAAGAGCTCCAGCTGGCTGTGGTGCAGTGGTGCAGGGCTGGGACTTGGCTGGCTCGCCTGGAATCATTGAGGTGCTTCAGAGGTTGCAGGTGGCACAAAGGGAGGGGATGGCATCTGTCCCTGGAAGGCACATCCACATGTCCCATTGACACAGGGATGGGTGGGCACCAAGGGGGTGGCCTGCTCCAGCTGATCTTTGGCAGGTGATAAGCTGGGCAGGCTCCCCATATTAACACACACCAGGCAGGGGCCACAGCAACGCAAGGACAAAGGTCTGTCGCAAAGCTGGGACAGCAACTCAGGAAGCAGCATTCATCTGCTGCTGAGCCTTAGATGCACTCACAGAGGGAGGAAGATGTAATTTGGCTAACACCTTTCAGCCACATAACAAATTAACACACACTTAATTCATTAGCTTTTACCCTGGGGTGGGGACCTATTACTGTGGAAAATGAAGCAGAGGCAATAAAAGCATGTATTTTTGGAGGTGGCCACATGTTACCTGCTGTCCTCTGCCCACTGGGCACTCAGACCCTGCTCTGAGACCTTCCCAGAGAAGTAGCACTGCTAAGTGACCACCTGTGATGAACACACCCAGCACCTTCATAGAAAATCCTGGATACAACATGGACCCAGGAGGCCCTGATCCAGCCTCCCTCATGTCTCTCCCAGGCCCAGTACCCTTGCCCTCATGAGGAAGCTTTTGGGGCTGCAGCCTGAGGCTATGTGCAGTGCAGAGTACCTGTGGGTATTGCCAGAAGGGATGTGCATTTATACTGGATTACTCCTGATGTCAGACTGCTTCTTTGTCAGCATCAGCTGCTGACCTTGGTGAGAGCTTTTTACAGCCCGGGTCACAGAGCACGGCAGCTTGCTGCATGATGCATGGCTCTGCACAGTGGGCTCTCTCACTAGCAGGGAGCTAACTCCTGATGGGACAGCTCTGCTCAGCAGCTAAGGCAAAACCCAAGCTCCTGGCTGGGACGCATTACACAGCCTCACCTCAAGCACTCATCTGGAAAGATTCCCTAAGAGGACTGACATAGGGAAACAGCAAGCAGATGAGTAAATTCTTATCTATCGATTTCAAGCAGACATCAACTGGAAATCAATTGGACATCAATAGTGTGCTTTTAGAAGAAAACCCCAGGCTCTTCTGTGCTTCCTTGGCAATGAGCACAAGCAGCCTCATGCTGGGAGGATCTTCGTGCCTGTGACATGCAGGGCACGGGCACAGCAAAGACAAGCAGGGTCTGAGTCACTAGTCAAAAGTCACCAGTCTCCACAGTTATGGAGCCCTGGCCACACTTTGGTCTACCTGGTTTCCACCTCGGTGGTATTTGTGACAAAAAGTGTGGAAGAGGTTCTCATTCTTCACAGGGATTACGCTTAATCACAGAGGGTGTTAAATAAATGAATATGCTCAAAGCCAAAGGAGACTGTGCCTATCCAAGGCGATTAACAACCCAGGAGGAAATGGCAAAGAAAGGGCAGAAGGAGCATGCAAAGGACTGAGAATCACAGTGCAGCAACTGTGAAGGTGTTATGGCTTAAACAGAAAGATCCGTGCAAGCTCAAAACCACATATACTAAAATCCCATTGTGCAAGAGGACACTGGGTTTATTTCTGCCTGTTTAATGGTGAATTCCCAGCTCTGTCAAGTGAGAATGTTTTACATCAGTATTCCTGCAGCGGTACGTCTTCTCACTATGTTTAAGCACAGATGGTTATGTAGCTTCCATAGAAATCTGTCATGTGGGGTCAACACCAAGCTTTCAATTGCTTTATCTTTAAAGATAAGGATGATACCAACCTGATAAACTGATCTAAATCTGCTAAATCTATGAGACATCACATAGAGATAAAGAAAGAGGAATCAATAAGGCATTAACAGATGTTGGAATTGCCACCTGTATATCAGTTTGGAACTGTCCCCTGTACTGCAGTTCATAAAATACACCTTAGGCTGCAGTTGTTAACTGGACTAACATACAAAAGAGTAAAGATCCAGGAGCCAAGGACTTGTAGCAGGCTCTGAGTGATACACAGCTGAAGGAATAAATCAGCTGCACTCCCCCAGCAGAGGTCTGAGCAGTCTCTTGACTTCCCTGGTTGCCATCAGCACCTGTACTGCTCCAGACCAGGGCTTTGAGATGAGCTGGAATTAAACTAGAACTTGGAGAGCAAATGATGAAAATAAACTCTGGTCTAGGGTCCAGAAGGGAATTAGGGATTGCCTATGTCATCAAGAGTATTTCTGTGAATTGACTTATGCATGCTACAGAAATTCACCTCATGTCCCTGCAGATAGTGAAGCTGATTCAGCTGAATCTGTGCCACAGATTTTGCATGCAGCATCTTAGCTGAGGTCTAAGACAGCAGGGAGTTAATAGCAGCGGGGACAGAAAAATGAAATTCAAGTGTCTATGTGCTTCATCTTTACAAAACCTGTCTCTAGTTAACAGTAGCTTTTGCTGAGTGACGCCCATGCTATCAGCTTGGGTACCACATCTTCTTCCCTGGAGGAAATGAGTTTGACACGTGGGCTCTAGGGGCAAGGGAGGAGAGGCGGCATCACTACAAAGGTAAACGAGCAGAGCTGCTCTGAGGTGAACGCCATCAGTCTCACCACCGGGGTGCCGGAGCCCCCTGCCTCCCGTTTACCACAGCATAGGTTAAGTTGCAAGGGCAGCTGGGAAGGAAGTCTCTGCTGCAAGTATCCTGAGCCACGTGAAGTCAAAGATCCCCAGGCAAATGTAGCTAGAGGCAGCAAGTCTCTCAAAGGGCTGAAATTCCAGCTGAGTCCCAAATTCACTGTGCAGGAGGGAAAGGGCTGTAATCTGCTAACGAAAGCAGATGTACAAGAGTCATTCTGGCAGCTACATCTGCCGTGCTGCCTCCCCCACCCTGCCTTGTTAAACTCACTCTTCCTTCTAGCCATATGTGCTTTTCTCATAGCGAAAACAGGCAAGCACAAATGTCAATCACGAGACAGTTATTCTGTAGGACAGTAGGTGTTTCTTCATCCGATGTTACAGTCTTACTGAGCTCTGATGCCCCCTCAGCCTCCAGACGAAGGCTCTCACCATCTTGGCCCGGTGACGGGCAGCAGTCCCTTGGGGCATGCTGCAGCCATGTAGCTCCCCCCCGCACTGACCCCTGTGCTGCTTATGCTCGGGAGGGGTGCTGGGAGGAATCACACATCCTGGCCCCGCACTGTGTAGTGTATTCCTTACGGAACCCCTCACGCAGCGCGGGGCTGGCACGGCGGCCTCCTTCCTTCCTCCTGTTGCAAGAGGGAAGCAGGGGCTCGGTGGCGTCGAGACTGATGTCCCCCTGCCCCATCACTAACAGGCCTGTGCTTTAGAGGGGTGGCTCCCGCCCCCGCTGCCCCCCAGAAACAGAGCGGGCTCGCCCAGCACGATCCCGGGCCTCCCCTCCGCGGCGACCGCTTCAAGGCCCCCGGGGAAGCGAGGGGAACCGGCGGTCCTCCTGCACCGCCGTTGCAGCCTCCCGCCGGCAGGCGGCGCTCTCCCACCCCGCTCCGGCCGTGGTTGGTGTCACGACTCTCCGGATGTGACGTCCGGTAGCGCGCCTCGTTCACGCTCCCGTGGTGACGGAGCCTGTGCGCCGCTGCGCGATGGCGGCGCCTTGTGCGGTGTGGCTCGGGGATGTGGTAAGGCGGCGGTGGCGGGTGGGGACGGGCTCTGCCTGGGGCAGTGGGGGTTGCTCTGACCCGTGTCCCGCTGCAGGTGGAACTGGTGCCGTGCCCCTACGATGTCCATCATCGCGTCCCCCCGGCGTCGCTGGAGAGGCACGCCGCGTCCTGCCGGCTCCGCAAGATGGGCTACTCTGCCGAGGAGGAGGTGGGCGGCCCGGGGGAAACCGGCTGCGGGGAAGGGGCACGGGGCCGGGATGCTGTGCGGCAGTGCCACCGGGGGGTCCCCGCTGGCTCGGGGTCACTCGGCGGCAGAGCCCGGAGCCGGTGTCCTTGGGGGCGTTCCCGGGTCCTTGACTGAGGCGCTTGGTCCCGCAGGCCGAGATGTACGACTCCAGCGTTTTCTACGAAAACCTGAAGGTTCCCACCGTCACCATGGGTGAGCGGCAACGGGGGCCTCGGGGTGGGGACAGCTGGGGCTGAGGGGAGGACCGGGGGACACCCTGGGGGAGGCGCGGAGGATGAGGGGAAGTGCCCGGGAGGAGACAGAAGATAAGCGGCTGAGGGGAGACCCTCAGGGAGGGGCAGGGGATAATACTGCAAAGAGGTCACTGGGGGAGGCTTAGGATGGGGTTTAGGGGAAACCCCATGGGTAGAGTTCAGGTCTTGGCAGTAGCACACCCCAGTGCCTTGTCAGCTTTGTCAGGCTTCCTAAACCTCCAGGGTCAGTAGGTTTATTTTCTCACCGTTGTAGTTTGCGTTATTTTACTCTTGCGTTGCTTCTGTCGCTGTGCGTTTCTGCTGTGTAGGTCACTTTTCATCTTGAAATCCAAGGAGGAACGTTTTTTTTTTCCTCTTAGATCATTTTCCAGGTTCTTCCTATGGTCTTGCATCAAGTGCAAGAAGTGGATTAAAAACACATGCTTAGAAGGTGAAAAAGCTGGCCCTAGAATTTGGGGGTATATAAGCAGTAGAGAAGAGAGTTGCAATATACGTGCATGTCTTTTTCCTTATCCCTGTAACTCAGGAATCCGTTTTGTTTTTTTTTTTACTTTTTCTTTCCCCTCAGTTCAAATGTGGATTAGATTCAAATGATATTTTTAGTTCAGACCTTCCCTTATGTGTAAATAAAACTACAGTGTTCTGTAACATACCATAATAGAAGCTGGGGAATAAAGACTAACCCTCCCAAGTACTCAACATAAAAGTTCTGTGATATTTCTGTCTTCTCTGTCTACAGATAAAGATCTACAGTTTCACATTGTTAAACAAGCTAGAGCTCAAAGTGCCGGAGAAGGCACAGGCTACAGCGAAGGTAAGTAACAAGCAGGCACTGAGGCAACTGTATGAGGTCTCATGGAGAGCTGTTCTTGTCTCTCCTATTGCAGCTTCCTCATTCCGCTTGTGAACTGCTATGAGACTTTTTTTACTTATGTTTAGTATTCCTTCCCTTGTATTTTTTGGAGCATAACTACTTTGTCTGCTTGGAAAGAAAACCTGATAAGAGAGCTCGAGTCTGTTGTGCTCACACCTCTAGTTCTCTGCAGGACTGGAGGATGAAAACTGCAAGATTAAGGAGTTTCTTAAAGCACTAGTCCTTCACTTCCCATCCCACTACCTACACTTTACTTTCTTCCTGTGTTTCCTTCTGCGCTTTGTGGCTCAAACTCTCCTAATGCTGCCTTCAGCCTTGTTGTTTGTGTGATGGTTCTTCATGTAATGTTTTGTTTAAGGATTAATTGCTAGACATGAGTTGTATGTGCTTATCCACCACTCCTTAAATCAAAACAGAAGCAACATGTCTATTATTATGTTGGATTGTTTCGAGACTGTCCTAAACTGTCGTGGTTTAAGCCCAGCCCATAACTCAGAACCGCACAGCTGCTCGCTCACATGCAAGTAAAGAAACGGATACACCCTTTAAAGTGGTGCATTGCAAAGATACATCCGTGAACCACTAGGTGCCAGCATTTGCCACCCACTGCAAGCATGTGTTTTTCTGAAGCTAACACTAAAACTGTGTTGGGATAGTTCTCATTGTGGTATCTTGGCCTCTTGTAAGATTTACTTAGTATTGTTTGTTTAATTTAAAGTCTTCTTTAAGCTGGCTATGTAATAGGACAGGAAGGCTGGTATTAATCACAACCTGTAAAAGCCTTGTAAAATGACAAGTGCATTACAGGGTACTTTTATGGGCTACTGTGACCCTGTATAACAGTGCCTTTTAAAAATGAAATTCTTGTTTTCATGTTTAAATCTGTTAGTTTGGACTGGAAAAGTTCTGGTTTTGGTTTCAAGTACAGTAATGACAAAACCTTGTCTTCTGGGTTTGTTGCAGAGTTATTGTGGCTCCTCTTCTTTGGTGTCTTTAGTGAAATCAGGAGGTGAAGGATTGCCCAGCTTCTGTTAGGTGCTGAATAATGTAGAGAAGCAGTAGCTTTGCTGTTCTGCAGGCTCCTGCATAAACCCCACCTTATGTGTTGGCTGTTCTCTCTGTCTGGGTATGTCTGTGTCATATCATCTGGGTATGATTGTGTCTTGAGGGAGAAGGTTGTATTGTGGGGAGCAGGATTATGGGGATCAGGTCAATAGTTGCTGGGAATTGAAATGCTTTTCTGCAGGCAATATCCTAGAATACTGCATCCTGTGTCCTTAGGGAGGTCACTTTGCAGCTGTTGCAATGGATTGAGAAAGGATTTATTATTTGTTTGGAGGATATATGTTTTAACCAGGGAATGGAAATTGCGACTATTCAGGGAAAGAAGAGTATGCAGGCAGTGTGTGTGTTTCCGTAACATTAAAGTTAGTTATCTGAACTAATCTGAAGCATTTTGAAAGTGCCTTTGTAGCCTTAGCTAGAAATGCCTATGGCAGTCTATAATAAAGAGCTCTGTAAAGGAAGTGACAGTGTGAGTGACACTGATTTGCACAGTGTCCAGTTGTTTAGTCTCCTAGAGGCTTTCATTGTTGTTGGCAGAGGAGCAGGTATTTTGCAGATGGTACTTTAAAGAAAATTTTAGGAGTAAGACAAACCCACAGGTTGGAGCTCTGCCTCTTCTCTCGTGTAATCCCAGAGCCGAGTGTCCTTTTGAACTAACCTAGTGTGATCCCTTCAAAGCATATGAAAACCTGTAAATAAAAGTATAAAAAGGAAAGGTTACACAGCCTGCATGGGGCTGGGGAGGGATTTGGACCTTTTTTTTTTTTTTTTAATTTGAGTGATTTTTATCCTTTCAAATTAAGACGGGTGAATAAAGCATGGGTATTTCCTTCATTGTTGTTTGTTGAACTTCTGTGCTTTCCTATAAAATTACACTATTTTACTAATAACAGCTGTCTGTTCTCATTCTAGGATCTTACTCATTACTGCCTGTAGAAGTTCCCCAAAATCACAAGCGTTTCACCTGTGACCTGACTCAAGCTGATCGCCTTGCTCTTTATGATTATGTTGTTGAGGAAACAAAGAAACAGAGGTCTAGGTCCCAAATAACGGAAAATGACAGTGACCTCTTTGTGGATTTAGCAGCAAAAATCACACAAGGTTTGAAGAACTATTTGTTGTTGAGTTTTGTCTTGGATCTTTCATTTTGTATAGTTAGATGACTTTTGTTGCAAGCCAAGCAGAATTGCTTGTGCTGTTTTTAGTGTGAAAAGCATGCTTTTCTTAAAAGCCTCAGTGAAGACTTTGCATCAGAAAACACTAGTTTGGTATCCTTTATGTTGTTTTCCATCTGAGAGAGCCTCAGTGCTCTGCTCCTGGCACACATATTGTGTATGTTGGTGGATGAATCTTTTGTCTTTGCTGCAACTGACAGGTTGCTTAATGTTGCCAGCTTACTACGCACTTGAGAACAGTATTTGCTGTAAGAGATGGTGAGATTAAAGATCACTTAAGAGTAAAAGCCAAACAAGAAAGTTTGGCAGTCATCCGATGGAGCTCTTGAGCAATATACAAACGGGAGTGTTGGACCGAGGCCTCTCATCTCTGTTGAGTCATGCCAGTTTGTAACTGTACGAGTGCAACATAAGCATCAGTGTTACCCTGTGGGCCCTGCTCTGCATGGAGTGTTTGTGATCTACACAGGTAAATTATTTACAGAATCTGGCTTTTTCAGTCTCTGTGCCTTATTGTAATACTGGCTCTGAAAACATGGCTTGTACTTTGTAGCTGTTTGACCAAATTGCAAGCCCATATGTTGATTTAGATCACTGTTAGGAGACTGAGATCACATAAGAGATTTGCTCAGTGGCTTTTTAGTCTTGTGTAAACAGCTAGCAAAAAGGTTGGAGAGGAAGCTTGTGCTGAATTCATAATAGTTACTAAGTACTGGGGAAACTTCAGAAAGAACACAATATATTTTCTGTTTCAGACTTGTATTATTAAAGCCCCAGACTTGCATACCTGCAGGTGCTAATGTCCTGCTAATGACCATCTGTTTTACTTCCAATTTTTCACTAGATGATAGTCAGAAAGGTCCCAAATCCCATCTTGAAATTCTGGCTGAAATGCGAGATTACAAAAGGCGGCGGCAGTCATACAGGGCTAAGAACGTTCATATAACAAAGAAGTCTTACACTGAGGTGAGATCTGAAAATAAGGCGGTTTTTGCACAGAAGTGCTTATTATATATCAGCATAAACAATGCTATACCCTTTCAGACAAAGAAAATGTCTTTTGTTTATTGCTGCAAGTTACAAATAATAGGGGCATTTCTGACTCACATTTTGAATGTGAAAATGGCAGCAAGATGTAGTTGACTGTCTGTTGTAAAAGGGTGCTATTTGAATTTCTGCTGAAATACCTGTTTCTGCAAATCAGACTTTCCATTCAGCCATCCGATTATAGGTTTTGGGGAGGATGTTTACTTTCTGCTGTCTAGTTGCAAATTCAAGCCAGTATCATGACCTGCTGCTTTTCTTGTTTCTTTTTAATATATCTTAATCTCCAGGTGATTCGGGATGTGATTGGTGTGCATATGGAAGAACTCAGCAATCACTGGCAGGAGGAGAATAGGTTGGATAATGCAGAGATGTGTGAAGGAGGAAAGTCAAAATCTTCAGGAAGGTATGCCATCGTTGACAAATTCCTTGGGCATGTGAGTGGGCTGATGGCCTGTAATTGTATCTTACCACCTTCTTCCAGTAGTGCATACCAACCTTGGCTGAGACATGTGCACAGTTTATTTTCTGCTAATGCTATTAATTTCTTGCTTGAGAAGCTCTGCCTGCATGAGGGATGGGGGGGAAAAGGAATTATTAGCTTGCTTTCAGGGGTAAGAAGGTAAGTTACAAGTGATCCAGGTGAACAGGTAGGTTTTGGTGGAGCTGGGGAATCAGTAGTACTCCCTCTTCTGTCCAAATACATATGCATGTGATAGCTGGGGACAGAAGGGTACTTGAAAATAGAAGTGTACAATTTCTTCCCCTTCCCTACAACATGACAGGAAATGCTATGGTAGATATAAAATACCTCAGAAGAAAGGTTTTCCTGAGTTACTAAACATGGGGACCCTTTAAAGTTCTTATCACTGTGAATGCTGCTGTGCTAACTGAGAGTATGTTTTGTATATACATGTATCTTCCTGTATCAAGTAACACCACACACTCTTCCAAACATTTGTCACTGAAATGAAGATGGAATCATGACCTGGCAATAGCCTATTTGTGCTTCTTCAGAAGATCTTTGAGATGAAAATGGTATTGAAAAAAGGTGATACTCAAGGTGTTTTCAGCATTAAAATGAAGGTGAATGAGGCGGCCATACAGGAGATCAAGCTTGCTGGGTTCTCCAGCTGTAGGTAGCGGCTTAAAGGCAGGTTATTGAAGAGTTAGGCACTGAAAGCAAAATGGCGTGAACCCCTTCTACTGCGTCCTGTTCCATGAGCAGAGAATGTAAGACTGAGGGGCAGTGTTTGTAAGAAATAACTACTAGTGTGCTGAGAGGTGCATATACAAGAGAATGGACTTTGGGCCTCTTTTGGGATGTATTGTGTTTCTTAGGGAGATAGAGAGCCTTAATAAAAGATACCTTCTACTGGGCCATTATATGATAAATGTGGTGCTGAAAACAACAGTGACTGTGAAACAGTTTTTATTGAACAGACTCAATAACCTTTGTTTCAGGAAGGAAGACAGGCGGTCAGCTTCGGTGGACTCCCGGCAGTCGGGAGGAAGCTCTAAAGAAACTGAATGCACCAGGCATAGGAGAGAGAGCAGCAGGAGTCCAAGTAAACGAAGGAGGAGTCGTGAAAGAGGCAAAGACAAGGATTCTCGGAGAAAAAGAGAGAGGTGAGCAGACATGGTGACAGCTGAAGTCTGCTTCTGAATCAGGCAGCTGTAGCATTGTCTGTAAGAAATTAGTGCAGAGAATTAGAATATTTAGTTCAGTTAAAAAGCTGGGCTCAATTTAGTATACTGTGTAACAAGCCAGTGGCATGAGACTACTTATACTGAACAGAACATGCTGTGAGATCATAAACTGTGATCCAGACTTCAGGATTTACCCTCACATCTGAAAGGTGATGCTTTGAGCTGCATGCTGCAGGATTAGCACGGTACTGTTGCTGCCTGTTCTGCTCCTTGATCAATATACGCACAGGGGAGCATGCTGTCTGTTTAACCAGTGATGTGTGCTTGTCATGTCTCGTGCTGATCTCTGCTCTAGTTTGCACTGGGACTTGACTTAATCAGGAAGATTGTTTTCACCAATACATATGCACACATAATCACTTGAGTTGCATTTCAAAGCTTTAAAACAGTGTTGGTTTCTTTTCAGTAGTTCTGGGTATGTTTTTAGGCAAAAGAAAACAAATCTAGACCACACTTCTAATGCCATCAACAAGGGCATGTTTGCACCTGCAAGTCCATAGGTGTGTGGGACCTGTGTTTGAGCAAAGACTTAATTGGCCAGCAGAAATGCTGCATTATTCCTGGTGTGTATGGAAGAAATACTGTAGGTAACTGCACAGAAGGAGATGATTGCTTATCTCAAAACCGGCTTCATTTCCCAGTGATGCCATTCATCCTAAACTAATTGCCACTATGGCACTGCTTGACAAGGCTTTGATTAAACAGCATGGGAAATAAAGTGCTGTAAAGTAGTTTACTTTCTTTCCTTAGAAGAAGGCATCATTACATTTAATGAATGCTTTCCATTTTCCAAATATTTTTTTTCCTTCAGATTTTGTCAGTCAGAGCCTAACAGCCCACACAGTGTTTGTGGTTTTGTTTCAGGGATGAAGAAAAGTATCACAACTATAAAAGAAGAAAGTAGAAGCAAGAACCTGATTATTTTGCCAGCTTTTCAAAAAATGACTTGCACAAGAACTATTATTACTGCTGTTGTGCTAGGGACAGTAATGCTGTGTACGTATTATTGGTGCTACAGCTGTGCTGGGAGACCAAAAGTGTGAAGGTTTGTCAGGATGGAAGCAGTATACATCAGAAAACGTGTATATTTTTTCACTAATGCATCTCTTAATAAATTACATTGATCTCATCTGAGTTCAGTCTCACAAGGCTGAAGAATGAAATCTCAGAGAGGCTGTACTAATTTGCCTTCCTGGCCCATACGTGGTGGATAGAGTACTAATCGCTGGAGTCTGGGATCAATTACAAATGGAAAAGGCATGCAGAGAGCTCCCTTCGTACCCTCCCACCTGACACTGTCACCTCTGGGACCAGGGTTCCAGAACAGCAGCACTTGCTGCCTGGTTACCATATGAACCAGAGGGGACAGGGCATATTTCAGAGTTCTCCAACAGGCTGAAGCGTCTTCAACTGCAGCTAGTGGTAAAAGGACCACAACAGGAAAGTTGCTGTTCCTAAGCTCATGCTCAAAGAAATTTAGGATCAATGTCATGTGGCAAAGATGACAAGAATATAGCTCTCTATGGAAACTAGTGGGGAGGCACCAAAGAAGCCTCTAATATTGCCGAATGCCATTCTCAAACACCAGGTGCCTACCCATTTACTTCCAGAAATAACTAGGAGGAGTTCCCATCCTGCAGACTAGCAGGTAAGTGCACATACCAAGGGCATGCAGGAGGATTCACTTAACTTCAGTGAGATATTTATTATATCAATTCCCAGTTAATTCCTCACACAGTCTACTACAGCAAGGTCAGACATCACCAGCCAAGCTTGTTACCTCAACAAAGCAAGCAACTATAGAAGAACAAGCTTTCAGATTCATCTTTCCTACAACACTCTTCTGCTTCCTCGAGTTGCCAGGAGAGGGCACTCCGCATACTCCTGGTTTTGGCCTTTTCTGTCAAGGGAATCGCTCTAGTTTTACTGTACACTGTCTCACCTCAGTTGTTTCTTCAATTAAGTGTGATTAGATGTCACAAAGAAATCTAGTTCTGATTTAGACTTCTGTACAGCTATTCAGCTCAAAAGAACACTGAACTCATTTGTCACCTACATGACAAATGCAGTAGCTTTTCTTGTCAGAAAACAAAATGTATTTTAAAGTAGATCCTGAATTAGACAAGTCTATCTAAGAATGGAAGAAGAGGCTTACTTAAGTTATGTGAAAGGTGCTAATTGGAGGGAAAAAAAATAAGGAACCATTGCAGTTCTTTCTTGATTTAATATTTCTTCTATCAGCTCAGTCACAGGGTTCTCATGAACTTCCCTTAAGGCTTGGTAGAACTACTTATTTAAGAGAGCGTGTTCGAGTAGATGAGGTGGTCAGAAGACAAGCTGTATTTGTGTAAGAGTCACAAAGTCAATGCTAGCAGAAGCATAATGAGAAATACACCAAATACAGCTGTCCAGTCTAAGTTTAATTCTATTGTTTACTTCTTATGACACTAGCAAAGTATAGGTAGGAAGATCCATACCAAAATATGGAGTGAAGGTATTGCTCCCTAGGTGTGAGCATCAATATTTGAGAGGCCCACTGAAGGAAGAGTTCAGGAGTGCGATAAAGAAAAGAAAGTGCCAGGAGAGGGTTGTCTTTTATTGTGATGTACAAATAACAGTCCTTTGAACACAGATTCTTTTCCTGCATATTTGTTTCTTACTTTTTTTTTTTTTCTTCTCTCACCCAATGATGAAGAGTGGGCTTGATCAAAACAGTGTTGAGGCCTGGCTCAAAAAGTTTCTGAGCAGCACCATGCCAGATTGTTTGTCACTGGAAAGGAATAAATGAAATGCTTTAGAACAACATTTGAACATGGTAAGTCCTAGTGTGTTGGACAAGATTACTGAGGGTTATATTAATTTCAAGCCAGAGCAGGGTGATTAAAAATTGGTTCTTACTAGTAAATTGTCAATCTGGTAATTAATGCAAAACAAACCAGTTGTGTGCTTTTCTGAGCCCCCATGTATACAGACCTGGGTTTGTGTGTCAAGGTTTTGGTAGTGACAGAGGGAAAGGTGAGGGCAGGCTACATGGGGTGGCTTTTGTGAGAAGCTGCCAGAAGCTTCCCCCATGTCCAACAGAGGCAATGCCTGCCCAGCTCCAAGACGGACCTGCCACTGGCTGAGGCCGAGCCCATCAGTGATGGTGGCAGAACCTCAGTCAATCTTTACTCCTGTCATCATGGCTGTGCCCAAAGTGAAGACAGACTACTCACCTGAAATGAAAGGCTTATGGAAAACCCAGAGGTGCTCGATACATTAAAATTGCATGCATGGATTTTTACTTACGCTTCGTCTTTAATTTTGTGGAGGAAGACTTCAACTTCCTCTTTTGGTATCTCTCCATCGATGCTGGCCAAATACAGGTAAAGAAATGAGAATGTTTCGAAAGGTATGCGAGCTGGTCCACCTTCTGGGTCCTTTGTTAAGATTTCACAGGCATGTTTCACTGAACTCAGCAAGGACTGCAGGGGTGTTCAGTCAAGAAATGAGAGGAACAGTATCAGAGCCATGAACATCCTTTAAACACCATAACAAAATCCACACTGTAAGCCACTAATAGTGTAAATGAGATGAAGGCTTTATCATGGTTGCCTAGGTTTCAACCTCAAATGTACCCTCTGTATCATATGGTGTAGCCTGAGCCCTAATTTCCATATGGCCAAATTGCTCTGCTGCTGTAAAAGCTCCAACGTCACTATACCTACTGACAGGGATATGTGTGTGTATTTATTATCTCAATGGATCTAACTGAATTCTCAGCAGCAGTTAAGACAGAAAAATTTACAAAGCCCAGAAAATTGACAGGGGTTTGATTTTTATTATGGCATTGTAATATAATATGGTATTAATTTTTTAGGCGTGCTGCTATTTACTGTATTCCTTATTCGTGTGCAAGTCCAATTATAGTAGTTAGTGGAAAAAGCACTGAGGCAAAAAGCCTTTCAAGCATATTCCAATTTAGTCAAAGCCCAATAATGTCCAGGTTCCCTTAAAATCAAACATGCCTCAAGGTATTACTTCCAAATACTTTGAAAAACTCCTTTATTCAGTACACTGCCATAACACAGTGCCCAACATGTGCTAAGCTATACAGGGAAATATGTGGAAAAATTCATTATAGAGCTTCACTGAGTCAAAGACTGGTTGCATGCCATTAAAACAAACAAACAAAAACCCACACAGGCCTTTTTTAACCCAAGTTGTAACATTTTTGCTATAACCTTTTCAAAGGGTATCCTTACCCATGTATTAACAAGCAAGCGATGCCTTTGGAAAAAGATAAGTATTTCCTAAGAGCAGAACAGCAATATTTAAAATAAATACAGTGTCTGTTCAATATGTAGAACACAGGCCAGAGAAGTGACAGTTTATAATCCTTTAACAGTTTATTTAGTGCAGTTCCTCCCCTGGGCAGCCTTTCTGCGAAAGGAGAGGCAGCTGCCTATACGATGGCAGACTCTATCTACCCCCTGCTGTTTGCTACCCGGCTACTTCCATTCCTGCTCCTGCCACTCCAAGTGGCTGCTCTCTCACAACACAGCAGAGTTATTCACATTGTTTTTGCCATCTTTGAAAGACAGTTTAATCTGTGTGGTCATTTCTCCAAGGCTGTAAAAACGCACCAGTGCTTTGCAGAAAGATACCTCAGATCACTGGTGTTCTTAAGTTCAGACTTGTCCACTCTTGTATCTTAACTGTGACCTTATTCAACTATGAACATAATTTACAGCGAAGGAAATAAATTTGTGTGTGTCTTCCTCTCTGGTTTAGGAAACTGAAGTTTAGGTTTCATTACATACAGCTGAAATCAAATAATTGACATAATATCTGAAAGGATGGATAGATGGAGGTAAATTTAGGCTGTCTAGCTCAGTCAGAATGAGGTTCCTGTCACTCTGGTTTTGATTTTTTTTTTTTTTTAAATAAGCAATGTTGCTGTTACATTTTTTTTTTAATTCAGAAAAGAGACCAAAATACAAAATCATGTTGAGGGGTGGGATTAGAATCAAGACATACACAGTTGAGATGAATATACATATATTCGCACACATACATAATTCTATCACCAGGCCAGGATAGCATTCAGGACTTCCAGAGATTGCAACGTTGCCAAAATATTATCCAATATATACTTTCTTTTTAGTACCCCTTCCCTACTGCAGAAATCATTAGCAGCGTTATACTTCATCAGATCATCAGCTTAGTGCATTTTATAATCTCTCATTCTGTGGAAATGCTCTGCTGAGATTTTATTACTGACATTAAAAGAATTAAATTTAGATTTAGTAACGTTAACTGCTTCTGTGAAAATTTAATTGACTGCACAATCAATTATGAATCGACGGTTTAATTTCTCCCTCCAGTTCTCCCTCACAGACATTTATACTGATGCCATAAGCATCATTAATTTGATGCCATAAGCATCATTCCTCTATGATCCTCTCTCTCATGGTCCAAGCTCCCTGCAGACATGCTTACTCTTCTAATGCCCTCCCAGTAAGCTGAGGACTTAGCTGTCTTTCTGATTAAGCTTTCCTGATCAAAAGCTGATGGGGAACAAAAGTAAACAGGCCACTTTTCCGGCTGCTGGAAAAGCAATCCCCAAAGTCCATTTGCACTAATTGTTCTGTGGTCTACCTCATACATGATCATATATGACCATTTGTGTTTTGATATGAGGGCTGCTGTTGCTGTTACCATACCTTGCCAAGCACGCTGCACCCAAGTGCCAGAAACTTCATCCATTCCACCTCCTTGCCGAAGTTGTCCAACTGCAGGATAGCCTCCAGCTGCTCCTCTGGCAAGCACAAGTGCTTCCATTTCTCCTTCAGTTCTGCAACATTCACCATGCCTTTGGGAGAAAGCTTTACACAAAATCGTGGTACCACAGTAAGAACTCTAAAAACCAGAGTGAAACTAAGAACACTATCCCTCCCCAAAATACATCAGATACTTGACAATCAGTCTCCCCAGCCATCCCCAATGCATCAGCGTTCCTCAACAGCATTGTGCATTTGATAAAGGCTGGTTTATACCTGTTTGTGCAAGACTTTAAGGAGTCCTTTGGTCAAAACAGCATCCGTTTTCTCTATTGCTAGAGGCATTTCCAGCCTCTCCTTCACAGGA